CAGATCCAATTATGTCGCCTAAGGCAACGCATGTGTGTTTTGTGGTGGGGTTTATTGTCCGGTTACTTGTGTACAGCTACGAAACGTGGCCATGTTTTGAGAAGCTCTGTTGGTGCACCAGGAGTGTTGCCAACTGCAGCTATAATCCCACAAGCCTGACATACATCCCTCGCCTGAGCTTAGAAGCTGAGAACATTTCCGTTTTCATTTTTACCTATGACTACCTTCCATATATTTCAAACCAAACTTTTGACAACATTACTTCTTTGAAAATCCAACATTTGAATCTTTTCGCAAATAATATTACATCAACGAGTTCCTATTCATTTGCTGGTTTACATTGGCTGACAAGTCTTGACCTAAGTAACAACCCCTTTATACTGACAGAGCTGAACAAAGCATTTCACTTCTTGTCGCGGTACCTTGGTTATATATATCTAAATCACGCTGGTATCAGCGATTCGGATCTTGAAGAAAGTCTACTGGGAGGTCTCATGAGTTGTTCTATCACAGGGATCCATCTTGCTGGAAACAATTTGACCAAATTTAACTTTAGCCACTTTTCTGGGTTTCCTGAACTGACAACTTTGAATCTTAAAAGCAACAGGATAAATTTTTATCCAGACTCTTTCAATCAGGTATTTTCAAATACACTGACTACACTGTGGATAGGTCATAATAATGTTACATCGATGCCTGATTTCTGTTCCAATGGTAAATCTGCCTTCCCCAACCTGTACACCCTTCGAATTGGTTACAATCAGATTTCGTATCTGAATAAGAGTAGTTTCGGTTGTTTGAGAATGTGTAAAGGAGTGTGTCTGACTCATTTGCAAATATCGGGGAACCCCATTCAAGTGATAGGTAGTGAGACCTTCAGTTCATTTAAGAGTCTTCAAAAGCTTATTATGAAACAGTTGTCATCTCCTCAGACTGATATTGATGACGAGGCATTCATAGGATGCAACAGTCTCAACCAACTTGACCTCTCTGATACCAGCATCACCGCAGAAAAACTTGATCACCTTTTGCGACCATTACACAAAACATTGAACTATTTTAACTGCACCAACTGCAGCTTACAAAAAGTGCCTGATGTCATATCGGACCTGGCTGGACTGAAGGAAATTTTTCTAGGTTATAATGACATTAGTTTCATACGTAAGAACATGTTTGTGAAGAATGTAAAGCTTCTGAATATGTCATTATGTCACAACAATCTCAGGTATTTGGTTATACCGAACTCCATACGGAGTCGTCTCATCTATGCCAATATCGAAGGCAATCCCTTCAATTGTGACTGTGACTTACTCTGGTTGAGAACTTGGCTCGTCGAAGCTCGAAGTTTGTTCAGCCGTCGTTTATCCTTTTATACTTGTTTTAGCCCTCCGGAAACTAAAGGGCAGAGACTGGTGGATGTTCAATCTGTTACGAACTCTGAATGCCTCTATGATAGCCACTATGTCTTTCTAGTGGTTGGCGCTGTTGTTGCTGTACTGATGTGTCTTTTGTGTTTCGCTCTTGGATACAAGTGGAGGTGGGATATCCGCTACTTTCTAGTTTGGAAAAGGAGGACACGTAGCTCCTCATCTGAATCCATACCTCTCCTGATGAGTGACGTCTACCTTCTGTACTCGGATGAAGACTTCGTGTGGGTCAGACATCACGCATTGCCCAACTTGGAGGACAAAGGTCGTTTGAGGATTTGTTTCCGTTCACGGGATTTTGATCCTGAGATTCACATCATGGACAGCATTGTGAAGAATCTTAATGGCTGTCGGAAGGTTCTCATGGTCGTGTCCACTAGCTTCTGTAAGGACACTGGGTGTCAGTTCGAGTTGTCCCTGGTACAGAAACGCTTAGAGGACCCCCACGAGGCGTTTGTTGTGGTCCTTTTGGAGGACATCGATGACAGGTATATACCCGAGTTTCTATCCCGTCTACTACAAGATTGTAGGGTCATGACTTGGCCTGGGCGTGGTGGGAATGAAGTTGAATTTTGGAATCAAGTCCTGTTGATGCTAAATAGGTCAGACGAATTACACACAATGTAACTACAATTTCATTTCGGACAAAACAAGGTGGAATTCTTTAAATATCTTGTAACATTTTCCTTTCCGACCCGTGAAGATCCGGGGTAGAATAGGTCTTCAGCAACCCATGCTTGCCGTAAAAGGCGACTATGTTTGTCGTAAGAGGCGACTAACGGGAGCGGGTGGTCAGGCTCGCTGACTTGGTTGATGCATGTCATCGATTATCGATACTTTAATTTTGTATCCAATCTTTATCAATTGCCTATGTTTTCGTTAAACTGAGTCTAGAGTGAAAAAGAACATTGGACCGCTTTCAATTATTGTCATATTTTGCTTTGTTTTCACATGTTATGTTAGTGGTGTTAGTTTAAAATGTTCTGCACACATACAAATACGTTTCCAATTACATATCGGAGCTGTGGTGATCGTACTTTGTAGTTTAGTATTCTGTTGAAGAATTGTCCATTATACGGAAGGAAATACGTTTGTAAATCAGTACAGAATTTCATTAATATTCTTCCGATATTAACTTGTAGATGGTTAGTCTTGTTATGTTGTCTTCGTGTGTCGAACTTTAATTCAATCTTGTCGTTGTTGCTGAGTGTTAAACGAGAGACATATAACACATATGGACGATGAAAGAAGGTCTCTTTACCAAAAAAGCCTTGTTCTATGGGAAGGTAGCTAGAACAGTTGATCTTTATGTTTCTATCCTTTGTGTAATAATTTGACATTTTGAATAAAACTCAAATTTAAGGGAATCAAATACTTTTGTAAATAAGTATATAGTCCAGCGTTTCATTAATATTACTCCTACATTAATTTGTAGATCGTTTTGTCTTTGTTCTATTTGTTATACAATCAAACACTGCTGTATCAAACTTTGATGTGTCGAACGTACAGTTGTCTCGAAGTAAAAAGCATGCCCCCTGAATATTCCTTCTTTAATCATTATTATATCGTACCTCGGATAACTCGAAGTATTAACTTAGGTCCCGTCAACTTCGACATAACTGTGTTTGACTGTATATTGTATTTGTATAACTTGAGATTCGAACCCATGATCATTGGATCCTGACACTGCAAAAGGGGGTTATTAGGTACAGCGACATCCGATGCCTTACACGAATTGACCATCCATGTCTCCTTGGCGCCGTGAAAGATATCCAATTGAAAATTAGAAGTCAAGGCGTGGTATACACACTGAAATTGTAAGGGATATGTTAGTGTTACTTTCAGACGGATGTTGTGAAAACGGTCATGGCTGGTACATTGTAGCAACATGTACTATATCTCATAAAAGCAATGCTAACTAGGACCAGTGCTGCTGGGATAGCCTAGTGGCTGAAACATTCTCTCGTCTCGCCCAAATCCTGAATTCCATTCCTCACATGTACAGTGTAAATCACATTTTGGTTCCGCCCCCGCTGTGAAATTACAGGTAAATAATTTAAAAAGGGGAGTAAAACCCAATTCTCTAATTAACTGGAACGACAGGTATTTAAATACCGTTTAACTATTGCTTGTACTTCGTCTAATCATCGATTGTTCTTCCTCTAACAATCGATTGTACTTCGTCTAACAATCGAGTGTACTTCGTCTATCCATCGCTTGTACTTTGTCTATTCATTGTTTGTACTTTGTCTATCCATCGTTTGTACTTTGTCTATCCATCGCTTGTACTTTGTCTATCCATCGTTTGTACTTTGTCTATCCATCGCTTGTACTTTGTCTATCCATCGTTTGTACTTTGTCTAACCACAGCTTGTACTTTGTCTATCCATCGCTTGTACTTTGTCTATCCATCGCTTGTACTTTGTCTAACCATCGCTTGTACTTTGTCTATCCATCGCTTGTACTTTGTCTATCCATCGCTTGTACTTTGTCTAACCATCGCTTGTACTTCGTCTAACCATCGCTTGTACTTTGTCTATCCATCGCTTGTACTTTGTCTATCCATCGCTTGTACTTTGTCTATCCATCGCTTGTACCTTTTCTAACCATCGCTTGTACTTTGTCCAACCATCGTTTGTACTTTGTCTAACCATCGTTTGTACTTTGTCTAACCATCGCTTGTACTTTGTCTATCCATCGCTTGTACCTTGTTCTAACCATCGCTTGTACTTTGTCCAACCATCGCTTGTACTTTGTCTATCCATCGTTTGTACTTTGTCTATCCATCGCTTGTACTTTGTTTAACCATCGCTTGTACTTTGTCCAACCATCGTTTGTACTTTGTCCAACCATCGTTTGTACTTTGTCTAACCATCGCTTGTACTTTGTCTATCCATCGCTTGTACTTTGTCTATCCATCGCCTGTACTTTGTCTATCCATCGCTTGTACTTTGTCTATCTACGCTTGTACTTTGTCTATCCATCGCTTGTACTTTGCCTATCCATCGTTTGTACTTTGTCTTACCATAGCTTGTACTTTGTCTATCCATCGTTTGTACTTTGTCTATCCATCGCTTGTACTTTGTTTAACCATCGCTTGTACTTTGTCTATCCATCGTTTGTACTTTGTCTATCCATCTCTTGTACTTTGTTTAACCATCGCTTGTACTTTGTCTATCCATCGCTTGTACTTTGTCTATCCATCGCTTGTACTTTGTCTATCCATCGCTTGTACTTTCTCTATCCATCGCTTGTACTTTGTCCAACCACAGCTTGTACTTTGTCTATCCATCGCTTGTACTTTGTCTATCCATCGCTTGTACTTTGTCTATCCATCGCTTGTACTTTGTCTATCTACGCTTGTACTTTGTCTATCCATCGCTTGTACTTTGCCTATCCATCGTTTGTACTTTGTCTAACCATAGCTTGTACTTTGTCTATCCATCGCTTGTACTTTGTCTATCCATCGCTTGTACTTTGTCTATCCATCGCTTGTACTTTGTCTATCCATCACTTGTACTTTGTCGAACCATAGCTTGTACTTTTTTGTCTATCCATCGCTTGTACTTTGTCTATCCATCGCTTGTACTTTCTCTAACCATCGATTGACCTTCGTCTAACCATCGCTTGTACTTTGTCTATCCATCGTTTGTACTTTGTCTAACCATCGCTTGTACTTTGTCTATCCATCGTTTGTACTTTGTCTATCCATCGCTTGTACTTTGTTTAACCATCGCTTGTACTTTTGTCTATCCATCGCTTGTACTTTGTCTAACCATCGCTTGTACTTTGTCTATCCATCGCTTGTACTTTGTCTATCCATCGCTTGTACTTTGTCTATCCATCGCTTGTACTTTGTCTATCCATCGCTTGTACTTTGTCTATCCATCGCTTGTACTTTGTCTATCCATAGCTTGTACTTTGTCTATCCATCGCTTGTACTTTGTCTATCCATCGCTTGTACTTTCTCTAACCATCGATTGACCTTCGTCTAACCATCGATTGTAGTTGGCCTTACCAAAAACTGTGCTTCCTTTATCTAACGATTGTACTTTGTTAAACCAGCTATCGTACTCAGTATGAACAATGATTATGCATTTTCTTGCGCTCAACCTTAGTTCACCAGTAAGAGTTTTTGAGACATGGTGTTGGTCTAACTGTACCCAGATCGTGTATGAAATAATAACACCCCAGATCGACAGCTTAACTTATCCGCGATTGTAGTGCAGTTTCAATTTCCTTGTCGGATTTTTTTTATAGAAACTATTTCCCCCTGAACTCAAATATTACATGTATGGCCTTACGTGTAAATGAGTTTCAGGTCCTGCGTATTTCTAATATTACACGACCTTTGCTTTTGAGCCAGTTCTACTTCCCTCTGTGCACGATACTTTCGCTACCAGTGCATGTTTAGATTGCGGTGTATGTAGTCGATAAAGACACGTTTCCTTGTGACCAGGACACAATTCGTAGTGTGTATGAGGACTGTGTGACACTGAAGATACAGGTCGACATGTGCATGACTGTGGCGCTCACTTAAACATCGACAGCGACTGTAACCTGTCAGGAATCTGCGTTAGTGTGAGACATTGGTGGTAACCAGGACTGCATCTGTGTGGCTTTGGGGTAATCAGTACTGAATCTGTGTGGCTTTGGGGTAACCAGTACTGAATCTGTGTGGCTTGTGGGTAACCAGTACTGAACCAATGAGGCTTGGAGGTAGCCAGTACTGAACCAGTGAGGCTTGGCGGTAGCCAGTACTGAACCAGTGAGGCTTGGAGGTAACCAGGACTGCATCTGTGTGGCTTTTTGGGGTAACCAGTACTGAATCTGTGTGGCTTTGTGGTAACCAGTACTGAACCAGTGAGGCTTGGTGGTAGCCAGTACTGAACCAGTGAGGCTTGGTAGTAGCAAGTACTGAACCAGTGAGGCTTGGAGGTAGCCAGTACTGAACCAGTGAGGCTTGGAGGTAACCAGTACTGAATCTGTGTGGCTTGGGGGTAGCCAGTACTGAATCTGCGTGGCTTGGAGGTAGCAAGTACTGAATCTGTGAGGCTTGGAGGTAGCCAGTACTGAATCTGCGTGGCTTGTTGGTAGCCAGTACTGAACCAGTGAGGCTTAGTGGTAGCAAGTACTGAATCTGAGTGGCTTGGAGGTAGCAAGTACTGAATCTGTGAGGCTTGGAGGTAGCCAGTACTGAATCTGCATGGCTTGGTGGTAGCCAGTACAGTGTCTGTGTGGCTTGGAGGTAACCAGTACTGAATCTGTGAGGCTTGGAGGTAGCCAGTACTGAATCTGCGTGGCTTGTTGGTAGCCAGTACTGAATCTGCATGGCTTGGTGGTAGCCAGTACAGTGTCTGTGTGGCTTGGAGGTAACCAGTACTGAATCTGTGAGGCTTGGAGGTAGCCAGTACTGAATCTGCATGACTTGGTGGTAGCCAGTACTGAACCAGTGAGGCTTGGTGGTAGTCAATACTGAATCTGTGTAGCTTGGGGGTAACCAGTACTGAATCTGTGTGGCTTGTTGGTAACCAGTACTGAATCTGTGAGGCTTGGAGGTAGCTAGTACTGAATCTACGTGGCTTGGTGGTAGCCAGTACTGAACCAGTGAGGCTTGGTGGTAGCCATTACTGAATCTGTGTGACTTGGAGGTAGCAAGTACTGAATCTGTGAGGCTTGGAGGTAACCAGTACTGAACCAGTGGGGCTTGGAGGTAGCCAGTACTGAATCTGTTTTGTTTGGTGGTAGCCAGTACTGAATGTGTGTGGTTTGGTGGTAGCCAGTCCTGAATCTGTGTGGTTTGGTGGTTGCCAGTACTGAATCTGCGTTGCTTAGTGGTAGCCAGTACTAACTGTGTGGCTTGGTGGTAGCCACCTGCGTATCTGTGGAGGTAACCAGTGCGGCATCAGGATATCTGTGGAGGTAACCAGTGCGGCATCAGGATATCTGTGGAGGTAACCAGTGCGGCATCAGGATATCTGAGGAGGTAACCAGTGCGGCATCAGGATATCTGTGGAGGTAACCAGTGCGGCATCAGGATATCTGTGGAGGTAACCAGTGCGGCATCAGGATATCTGAGGAGGTAACCAGTGCAGCATCAGGATATCTGTGGAGGTAACCAGTGCGGCATCAGGATATCTGTGGAGGTAACCAGTGCAGCATCAGGATATCTGTGGAGGTAACCAGTGCAGCATCAGGATATCTGTGGAGGTAACTAGTGCGGCATCAGGGTATCTGTGGAGGTAACCAGTGCGGCATCAGGATATCTGTGGAGGTAACTAGTGCGGCATCAGGGTATCTGTGGAGGTAACCAGTGCGGCATCAGGATATCTGTGGAGGTAACCTGTGCGGCATCAGGATATCTGTGGAGGTAACCTGTGCGGCATCAGAATATCTGTGGAGGTAACCAGTGCGGCATCAGGATATCTGTGGAGGTAACCAGTGCGGCACCTGTGTATCTGAGGAGGTAACCAGTGCGGCATCAACACAGCTGTGGAGAAATGCAGCACAGCACCTGTGTAACCAAAGCAACTAGTATGGCATCTGCTTAACTGTGTGGTGACCAGTACGACATCTGGGAGATTGTCAGACATAGTCTGTGTGTATAACTGTGACTCAATAAGGCACATGTGTAACTTTGGAGGCAACCATTTCGCCGTCTATGTAACGTTGGAAGTTCCCAATACGATATCTATGGAACTGAAGGAAGCCAGTTCGGCATCTGCTTAACTGTGTGGGGACCAGCACGACATCTGGGAGATTGTCAGACATAGTGCGTCTCATCCTTATGCTGTGTGTATTACTGTGACTTAATATGGCATATGTGTAACTTTGGAGGCAACTATTTCGCATGTCACTTTTTATCCTAGATATATGTATATGATTGTGTACAACTAAATAATATTTGGCTGTTTGTGAATAGATAGGCTAGGAATCGTTTTAGCTCTTGGGGAGGTCCCAGGAAAAGGAGAAGGTTCCAAATAAGACACATCACGGTCGGTAGATGATGACGTCAGAGACACTGCTTGCCCTCCTGTTGGTTGGTTGTCTAGTTAGTATTTATACCAGTAGCGGGGAGATTCCTGACCCTTATGGAAGGCCATGTTATGAAAACCTTTGTTGGTGTCGTAATAACACTGCTAATTGTAGTGGTAATCACGACCGTTTAACATATATTCCTAAACTGAGAACTGAGTGTGCTATTACAATTTTTCGCTTTGAATATAACTACCTTCCGTATATCGGACACAATACTTTTGAAAACCTCACTACATTAAACCTACAGCATCTTAATCTTGGACACAGCAATATATCCCATGTATCTGAACGGGCCTTCAGGAAACTGACCAAGTTACAAAGCCTAACACTAAGTCATAACCCTCTCATTCTCACAAAACTGGCCACTGCTTTTCATTCATTGGCTTCTACTTTAAGTTACATCTATCTCAATCACATTGGCATCAGCGACTCGGATCTTGAAGAGAATCTACTGAAGGGTCTCCAGAAAAGCCAAATAAAAGGGATCCATCTTGCTGGAAACAAATTGGCCAAATTTAACTTTAGCCACTTTTCAGGGTTTCCTAAACTGATAACTTTGAATCTTGATAGCAACAAGATTAGGATATACCCAGATAACTTCAATCGGGTATTTTCGAAGATAATTCGCACATTGTGGATTGCTGATAATAATGTTACATCGATGCCTGATTTCTGTTCCAATGGTAAATCTGCCTTCCCTAACCTGTACACCCTGCGAATTGGTTACAATCAGATTTCGTATCTGAATAAGAGTAGTTTCGGTTGTTTGAGAATGTGTACAGTAGCATGTCTGACTGATTTGGAAATATCGGGGAACCCCATTCAAGTGATAGGTAGTGAGACCTTCAGTTCATTTAAGAGTCTTCAAAAGCTTATTATGAAACAGTTGTCATCTCCTCAGACTGATATTGATGACGAGGCATTCATAGGATGCAACAGTCTCAACAAACTTGACCTCTCTGGTATCAACATCACCGCAGAAAAACTTGATCACCTTTTGCGACCATTACACAAAACATTAAACTATTTGAACTGCACCAACTGCAGCTTACAAAAAGTGCCCGGTGTTATATCTGAATTAACTGGACTCGAGATCATTCTTCTAGGTCACAATTTCATTAGTTCGATAAGCAACAACATGTTTGTCAACAACATCAAGCTTCTGAATATGTCATTATGTCACAACAATCTCAGGTATTTGGTTATACCGAACTCCATACGGAGTCGTCTCATCTATGCCAATATCGAAGGCAATCCCTTCAATTGTGACTGTGACTTACTTTGGTTGAGAACTTGGCTCGTCGAAGCCCGAAGTTTGTTCAGCCGTCGTTTATCCTTTTATACTTGTTTTAGCCCTCCGGAAACTAAAGGGCAGAGACTGGTGGATGTTCAATCTGTTACGTACTATGAATGCCTCTATAATAGCCGGTATGTCTTTCTAGTGGTTGGCGCCGTTGTTGCTGTGCTGATGTGTCTTTTATGTTTCGCTCTTGGATACAAGTGGAGGTGGGATATCCGCTACTTTCTAGTTTGGAAAAGGAGGACACGTAGCTCCTCATCTGAATCCATACCTCTCCTGATGAGTGACGTCTACCTTCTGTACTCGAATGAAGACTTCGTGTGGGTCAGACATCAAGCATTGCCCAACTTGGAGGACAAAGGTCGTTTGAGGATTTGTTTCCGTTCACGGGATTTTGATCCAAAGATTCACATCATGGACAGCATTGTGAAGAATCTTAATGGCTGTCGGAAGGTTCTCATGGTCGTGTCCAACAGCTTCTGTAAGGACATTGGGTGTCAGTTCGAGTTGTCCTTGGTACAGAAACGCTTAGAGGACCCCCACGAGGCGTTTGTTGTGGTCCTTTTGGAGGACATCGATGACAGGTATATGTCCGTGTTTCTATCCCGTCTACTACAAGATTGTAGGGTCATGACTTGGCCTGGGCGTGGTGGGAATGAAGTTGAATTTTGGAATCAAGTCCTGTTGATGCTAAATAGGTCAGACGAATTACACACAATGTAACTACAATTTCATTTGGACAAAACAAGGTTGGAAATCTTTAAATATATTGTAACAGTTTTCTTTCAGTATACGACCCGTGAAGACCCGGGGTAGAATAGGTCTTCAGCAACCCATGCAGGCGACTATGTTTGTCGTAAGAGGCGACTGACGCGAGCGGGTGGTCAGGCTCGCTGACTTGGTGGATGCATGTCATCGATCATCGATACTTAAATTTTGTATCCATCAATTGCCTATGTTTTCGTTATACTGAGTTTAGAGTGAAAAAGAACATTGGACCGCTTTCAATTATTGTCCAAATTATGCTTTGTTTTCACATGTTATGTTAGTGGTGTTAGTTGTGAAAGGTTCTGCACACATACAAATACGTTTCCAATTACATATAGCAGTTGTGGTGATCGTAGTTTGTAGTTTAGTATTCTGTTGAAGAATTATCCATTATACGGAAGCAAATACTTTTGTAAATCAGTATATAGCCCAGCATTTCATAAATATTCCTCCTACATTAACTTGTACATGAGATTCGAATCCATGATCATTGGATCATAACACTGCTAAGGAGGCTTATTAGGTACAGCGACATCCGATGCCTTAGACGAATGGACCATCCATGTCTCCTTGGCGCCGTGAAAGATGTCCAATTGAAAGTTTGAAGTCACAGCGTGGTATTCACATTGACATTGTAAGGGATATGTTAGTGTTACTTTCAGACGGATGTTGTGAAAACGAAGTCATGGCTGGTACACTGTAGCAACATGTACTATATCTCATAAAAGCAATGCTCACTAGGTAACTAGGTCCAGTGCTGCTGGGATAGCCTAGTGGCTGAAACATTCCCTCGTCTCGCGAAAATCCTGAGTTCGAAACCGCTCATGTACAATGTGTGAAATCCATTTGTCATTTTGTGATATTACAGGTAAATAGAAAAAGGAGCGTAAAACTCAATTCTCTTATTAACTGAAATTGCAGGTATTTTAATACCGTGTTCCAAAACAGAATGTCTTCGAAATGATAAATCGGATGGAGTACTTTAATCTGAGATTCCTGTCTGTTGTCTACTGGCAAAGTCGGACATTATACCGCTTAACGTGACGGTTTTTTCAGAAACACATAGCTGCGATTTTACTGTGTGGGATGGAGATATTCCCGGAATTATATTTTACAATTAGTTTTGCTGATCAAGCTTCTTGTGACAGTAAATATTTTACGAATGGGTTTTATTGTCACCAGACATATGTATTATTTGCGATCTATTAAAAAACATGTCTCCAACTTGAAAGGAATGTATGTTGTTCGTTAACACACTCGCCTGCACTGGTTGTCTCACTTAAAAGTTTTTAAAAATTAGAGAAAGTTTGGACCGACTCCTTGGTCTAGTGGATAGAGCGTCCGCCTGGAGAGCACCTGGACAGCGGACGCTCGGTGGTTCGATCCCCGGCCGCGTCATACCAAAAGACGGTAAAAGATGGTACTTCCCTGCCTGGAGCTCGGCATCAGGGGATAACGCAAAGACTGGTCAGCTTGGAATCAGCATACTGTGTCTGTGTTGGGTATTCGTATTTGAAGACCTGTGACGATCCGGGCTAGAAATGGACAACAACCCATGCTTGTCGTAAGAGGCGACTAATGGGATTGGGTGGTTAGGCTGGCTGACTTGGTTGATGTATTGCGTCGTATCACACTTGCGTGGATCGATGCTCATGATATCAGTCACTGGATTGTCTGGTTCAGACACGATTATTTACAGATTGCCGTCATACAGCTGACATATTGCTGAGTGCGTCGTTAAATAATAAACAAACAAACAGTACTTGAATCCAGTGTACGTCGCAATATAAGTGTAATAATCTTGAACGCCACGTTAAACCCAATTTCACTCCACCTCCCAACTATGGAAAGGCTGTTTTGTGGAGTGAAAGACATACACCTACACCTAGAAATCGTAGTAACTTCTGTCCACACTGTAGGGGAGATTACTCTCAGGTCAATAGATAAGTCGGGAAAACAAATTCATCTAACCTACAATTGTACCTCGTCTAAATAACGATTATAGTTCGTCTTACCATCGAGATTACTTCGTCTAACTAATGATGTGTACTTCGTCTAAACACCGATTGTACTTGATCTAAACATCGATTGTACTTCGTCTAACCATTGCTTGTACTTCGTCTAACCACCAATTGTACTTCGTCTTACCACCAATTGTTCTTCGTCTACCCATCAATTGTACTTCGTCTAATCATCAATTTTACTTCGTCTAACCATTGATTGTACTTCGTCTAACCATCGATTGTACTTCGTCTAAACATCAATTGTACTTCGTCCAACCACCAATTGTACTTCGTCTAACCATCAATTGTTCTTCGTCTAACCATCAATTGTACTTCGTCTAATCATCAATTTTACTTCGTCTAACCATTGATTGTACTTCGTCTAACCATCGATTGTACTTCGTCTAACCATCGATTGTGCTTCGTTTTACAATCAAGTGTACTTCGTCTAACCATCAAGTGTACTTCGTCTAACCTTCGCTTGTACTTCACCTTACCAACAAATGTGCTTCCTTTATCAAACGATTGTACTTTGTTGAAACAGCAATCGTACATTGTATGAATAATCATAATACTTTTTCTTGAGCTCATCCTTAGTTCACCAGTAATAGTACTTGAAAGTTGTTTATCTGACTGTACCCAGATGATGTGTGAAATATCAAAACCTTTGCATCGACAACTTAACTTATCCGCGATTGGAGTGCAGTTTCCATTTCCTTCTCTTCTGGTTTGTATTGAAACTATCAATCAATGTGTGAAGGGCCCAGAGTCAAGACGCCTTCAGGTTACAGGCAAGTAGAACAAATTCTTCCCTTCACTCCGTTGTCAGACTGGTCAGGCGAGACCAACGTGGCCAATCGTTTGTTGTTTTATACAACACTTCTGGCCTCTGCGTGGTATCAAGGGTCATCTACACCATCAACTATACCTTCCGTGTTACCTTATTCCGCCACCAGCGACGTGCATGTCAGGTGAGTGTTGTGGGAATATCCTTACCTGCAGAACTTTCCTTACTTTGTTGACATATCGAAAACTGGACAATAAGATTGATGTTGGACAACACTGTGATGTGATTGTCTGGTGACATTGAGCTTAACCCTGGACCTGTAACAGATCTGGTAGGTTAAAGAGGACATTAACTGAGGAAATTAGAGGATCAAAAGAGAGAGGAAATAAGAACATCGACTCAATTAAAACAGAGCTTAAGTTAATTAAGGACGAGGTACGTGATCTGAGAAAGGATTGTAGACAGTACTACAGAACCTCAAGATATAATGAGATTGGATATATATGCTCTAGGGTAAGAACTTGAGGTATGAACATCTACTGTGATATACTCCGTCATAATGAGGAGAGAGTTGAACACCATGAACGCTACAGTCGACAAAACAATCTCATTCTCCATGGAGTCCCTGAAGCTGGTAGGGGTGCTACGATGTGTGAAGTGACAAAGCACTAGACATTATCAACAGAGCTAGAGATAAAGATCCAGGCCCCGAGGTCTCCCCGTCTATCTACTAAAGATGTAGAAGGTACTCACAGGCTGCCCTCACGAGGAGGCAGGACACCACGCCCACTCACAGTGAGACTGACCTACTGGATGGGCAAGCTACAGATTGTTGGTATGAGAGCCACACTAAAGGATATGGGGATTGGAGCTGCCAGAGATTTGACACGTAATCAGCGTTCAGAGTTAAATATGCTGAGAACATTAAACACTGATAAACTCTTTTATTATAGTGAGTGAGTGTTATGGTTTTACGCCGCTTTTAGCAATATTCCAGTAATATCACGGCGGGGGACACCAGAAATGGGCTTCACCACATTGTACCCATGTCGGGAATCGAACCCAGGTCTTCGGCGTGACGAGCGAACGCTTTTACCACTAGGCTACCCGACCGCCCCCACTTTTATTATAAAGGTGGACAAATTGCAGAGAGTGTGAGGTGATTTGACTTCCGACCAGCAGGGTAGTGACAATGTAGACAGGCATCCACGGGAGCAGGATCAGCAGGGGCCCCATCATGGTGCCAAATTTGGCTCAAGCGCTCACACTAGAGAAATAACAGGCAGTAAACAGGGAAGTGGCCATGGCATTTGTGATTATAAGAAACTTCACTCATGTGAAATCACAAATGACATTTCTCCTTATCCAAGTGTAAAAAATATTACTGACTCTGTTACTAAGCTTAAGGAAACTTTCCTCACTGACAACATTAGATTTAGTTTCTGGAATGTGTCTGGTCTGAGCGTCAGACTCGATGCTTTTAGCTTTATGAATGTTGTTACCTCGTTTGATATCATTGGTTACCCCAAACCGATTTATATACTGTTTTCAGTTAATTTGATGTATTCTTGAAATATGGTGAACGAAGTTCGGAAGAGTGTCAGCTTTTGTTATTGTTCTGATTGTAACCCCCTTTAATATGGATAGAGATATGTGAACGCGGCGTTTTCTTACTGTTCGATTAAGATATGTCTTGATCACAACATATAGTAAATAGGCTTGGTAAATGCTTGTTGGAATTGTGCAGTGTTTTTAATATTCATATCATGAATGGAGTGCGTGAGTGAGTGAGTGAGTATTGTTTTACGCCGCTTTTAGCAATATTCCAGCAATATCACGGCGGGGGACACCAGAAATGGGCTTCACACATTGTACCCATGTCGGGAATCGAACCCAGGTCTTCGGCGTGACGAGCGAACGCTTTAACCACGAGGCTACCCGACCGCCCCTCATGAATGGAAGATGCGGTACAGATTCGAACTCTGGGGTTTACACTTTTATTGGCACGCAGGGAGCGAGCGTTGTAGACTATGTTTGTCATCCGAACTGTTTGACATTTGTAATAATTTTGACACTGAGTCATGCTCCGATGTAGACTATGTAATCTGTTCATCCGTCCTGTTTGAAATATGTAATAATTAATGATAATATCAATCTATTCAACATTCATATGGACAACCTTAATAGCCCACTCTGGCATATACTTTGTATCTTGTACGGAGACTGCACGTGACTGAATTCGCTAAAGGTAGATTTTAATGTCTCTTGTTTGTTTCTTTGCAGGGTATGTGTGAACCCCAGACCTACGTTCCCATGCTGCACGCTGATCACGTTGACGATTTGAAGAAGTTTCGGGCACGATCCAAGTCAGGGACTGCAGGCCAGAAAAAGATGGGAAGAAGTAGGCAAAGGATGAGTGCTCGAAGCATGTCTTCTCCCTCTTTCGGTCAGCCGTGTCTACCAGAGTCTCATCTAATGGCCTGTTTGCAGTTTTGAACCTAGTTGGTGTGCTATTTGGCCTTTGTTATATTCTTCCACGATTGAGGCAATTAATATGTTTTGTTGTTGATTGTTACTGTTGTAATATTGTTACAATGTTAGCATGTTACTATGTCCATGATGGTTCATGCATTGTTTTTTTTTGTAAAGAAATTGCAAATGGACATTATTATCCTGATGCGCATGCAATCGTATATCATGTGTTTGAAGTGCTTGTTAACGATTGTTACTGTTGTAATATAGTTTACAACAATGTTACTTTGTGTATGACGCCGATTTATGTCCTGTTTTCAATAAAACGAATTTCAACATTACATCGATTCTGTTATTACCCTGACGTATATGTGACAAGTCATTATTTTGAGAACTAGCTGCTGGCAGAGTTCAAGACAGAACACACACCCACAGATGTTTGCTACCCAAGTAACAATACTTTCTATCCAAAACAGACGTATATATATTTTAAGACATATGAATTTTTTTCACACACAAAGAGTTATCATTTAGACAATACTTACTTACTTACTTACTTTGGAGATTTAACGTGCGCTTTCCGACTGATGCGTATTTCGCACACGGGCCCGGCCAGGCCATTTAATGTGTTTCCGAAAGGGGCGAAAGTGGTCTGTGCAACCCAAGAGGGGGGTTTAGGGGTTGCTTATATAGAATTTGGGAATTTTGAGACTTGGAATAGATGCCGATGGGTTTGGGGAGGAGAACTAAGGGAGCTTGGTATGGTGGATGTTTGTTTGTTTATATGATTTTGATTTGGTAAGTTATTGTGTTTTTAGATGCGTTTTATTAGTTCCGTTTTTATTAAGAATACGCCTAAGGCCTTGAAGTTTTCTAGTTTATTTTGTGGGTTTAGTATTGCTTCTAGAGTGAGAGCCTTGTTTAGATTGAGGGTGGTTTGTAATGCGGTTCGATGTGTTAGGTAGTGTG